CTCCGAAAAATCATCAATCTAATCTTGGACCTATCATAAAAAGAAGGCATTTAATGATTTCATTTAGAACAACAACAACAAAAAAAAAGCTTAAAGAGAATTGTCCCAGGACCATGTGCAGGAAAAAAACAGGTGTACTGAAACACGTTGATCCTGTCGCAATTCTATCTCGGTAGACTCTCATTGAATGTACACAATGAATTAACTACTGCAAAATAAATCCTTAAAAACCAAGTTTATATATACTTGACTCGACTTTGCATTGTTTTCAATAAATTTTCCCCTTTGTGCTAGAGCTTTTCCAGTTAAAACTCCATAAAACAGTTAGATCATGTTTTCGATATTTATATATTAGCTAGCCCTAAAATTGCATGGTTAAATATTTACCCAAAACAGGCTGTATGTGAAGATAATGTGAGGTGGACACTGAGTGGGCTATTCGTTTGGAGTTCGACTTTAAATTCAGTTACAAATAGATTTATTTTAAACCCAGGTATAAGTCGCGAGTGGAGTACACAAGTCACCAACTCGAGGAAGTTTGTAGTTAGAATAAAGAATTGACCCACAGACTGATATCAAAAATCACATAAAATCTTTAACACAATGTATTCAAATATTCTTCTACATCAACATCAACAAAAGTATCTTGGTGAGCTTTCCCATTAAAAGAATCAAAGGTTTCATTCTGAGCAATCAAAGTTTCGTTAATTACAGGCCACATAACCAAGAATTGCAGACACCTGCCAAAGGCAGAAAACAGAAGAGCCCTAATGGCTGGAACTTTTAACAGAAAATACCCCCAAAATAACAGGAACCCAGCTGAAACAGAGCAGAAAAAACGTAATTACAGCTGGATTTATAAATTAGAATTGGTTCTAATGTAAAGAATACTAAGAAACGGACACAACAAAGCAAGATAGATTAGGAAATGTAGAAAAGAAACATAAACCAGAGATGGTAAAGTTGTTAGAAAAGTACAGAGGTATACTTAATGGCATCTTAATGGCTGTACAAATAAGGTTAAACATAAGATAGTGTTAAATGACAGTAAACATATAGCACAAAGATCCTATAGAGTGTCAGAGAAGCACAGGGTAGAGTTAAAAGAATGTGTAAAAAGAGGTGTTTGATGAAGGATTAATCAAGGACAGTTTGTCCATATACATCTCCAGTGGTTTTAGTTCCTAAAAAGGTAGTAACTTAAGAATGGCTGGAGACGGCTTGAGTGGGTAATGAAGAAAAACTTTAATATAAGTTTAACATAACAGCAAATGTACAACGTTTCGACAAGGTTTTGTCATCATCAGGTACATAGATACGAACTAAGTTGGAAGATCTTCAACTCCAGGGCGCTCTGTTTATACACTGCATTATACATCAGCAAGCACTCTATGGGAAAGACTTAGATATTTCTTGCATACTGAAACTAGTCGTTTCTGTGGTGAACATCATTCGGGGTCATGCACTTAATCACCGCTAGTTCCAGGCTTATATTGAAGAAATTGATTCTGAATTCTGTGACTTGCCTTACCACACAGCAGTGGGGTGGCTCAGCTGCGGTAAAGTCCTGTTTCGTTTTTATAAGCTCCGAAGAGAAATAGATATTTTTCTCACCGAAAAGGATAGAGCTGATCCACTTCTGTCAAATCCTACCTGGCTGTCAAAGTTGTCATTTTTGGTTGACATCACATCCCACATGAATGAATTGAACTTGAAACTTCAGAGAAAGGATAACCTTATCTGTGATCTCTACAGAATCATCAAAGGATTTCGGAGAAAGCTATCATTGTTTGAAGCACAACTGGAAGGAGGAAACTTCACTCATTTTCAATGTTTCAAAGAGTTTCGCACTGGAATCGCAGAAGATGTCAACCTCGAGTTTCCGAAGAAAATTATTTTTGATTTAAATAAGAATTTTTTGGAGAGATTTTCAGATCTCGACA